GTACCCCAGGAAGGCTTACTTATTTCTAAACATTTATAAGAAAATAAATGACAAGTAGTTTTAGTGATAAATGCAGGGAAGAAATACTTTGCCCCTACATAGCTAATTGTACAACTTGATTTGTATGTCTCGGGGTTTTAACACCCACAGAGGCCGGGGTGAAGGGGAGAAAGCTGTGAGTAATCCTTTCTAACCAGGGTCTTCCAGAAAGTGTCTTCCCATGGAGCCTGTGCCTTATCATGCATGTTCTGGCTCAGCAAAACCCAGCAGCACTGTCGTAACATGAGGCACATGAGGAGCTACCTGTGTGCGCACGGGAGCACCTGCATGCTGCTGGCTGTGCATGCCCTGAGAGCTGCCAGGCTGGACTGTGGGACAGGGACATGGGAAATGACCCTGTCGCAGCGGCTGGTCTGGCATCTCCCATGCCCACAAAACAGAGCTGTCCCTGCCCCTCTGCACCCCCAGGCACACAAGAGTAGCTAATGTAAGGGGGTCTATAGTGAACTCCAGGCTAACTCCTGTTAACCCTGCTTCGCTTCCCTGCACCTCCTTGAACATACTATCTGCTTCAAAAGTTAACAATTGAGCAAACACCAGTTTGCTAATTTTTGAAGCAATCAGTTCTCCCACAAAGCCCACTTGCTAAAGAGCTGTTTCTGTCTTTCTCACTGTTTTCAAGGGAATGCATAGTCTTCCTTCTGACTCGACTGAACTCTGCCCAGTTGTGCTGCCACTCTGTTTTGTTTTTCTCTTGGAATAAAAATAAACAAGATGTTGGCTGAGGTGGGATCTGGAAGCTCATAGGACAGTCAGCCTAGAGAAGAGCATTTTAAAGTGCACCTTTCAATTTATAGTACACATTTTACCTGAATTCAGTGCTGGCTCAGAAAGCTTCTGAGAGGAGATGTGAATCCTCACGTGGCTCAATGTAACCTCAGGTACTGTTTTCTCTCCAGGTTCATGCAATTGACCATGATAAATGTGTTTGCTTGTCTTTGGAAAAAAAGTTCTTTTTCTTTGCCAGATAGCTTTTTCTCAACCTTCACAGTTCTAATTTTAATCTAACTAGAACACTTTCATGTAAAGCTTTGGGCAGAAAATTCTGGCTTCATAAATTAATTTTTATAGCGCAGTTATTCCAGTTATACCAACTTTTCTCTCTTCATTTTTTCCTCCAATTAGAATACTTGTAAATCGAAAATGAACTTGTGCTAAGACAACATTAGGAATTATGTTACAAGAAAACTGGACTGATCTTGATGATCATATGCACTTAGGCTGTTCTTTTTTTTCCCTCTGCTTACCCCATAGTAAAAATATACTGTACACTATATCTTACTGTATGGAAACTGTAATGTTTGTAGAAGATACATGTGCCCAGTGAGCCACAGTCCCACACAGTCTTGTTAGCCTTAGCTTAAATTTTTGCTGTTACATTTTAATCAGTGCCTGACAGTGTATAATACTCTGTTCTACTCTCTGAATTTATACAAAAAATGGGTCATCTGTATTGCAAATAAAACCACAGTGATACCTGGGCTAAAAAGCCACTGAAGAGTATGACAAAAAAACTGTTTAAGCCTAGGTAGTCTTCCAAAATGAAGGTTCACCAGTAAGGATAAAATCTTATGCACAGTTAGCCACTGGGGTAGCTTTGGACTGAGACAGAGCACAGTATCTGCACCTATTAATCAATTGGCGCGGTGAGGACCAATTGACTTTGGTGAAGATAATAGCTCTAGGGGAAAAAGTCAAAGAGGAGGAAGGCCAAAGTGGCTTAGCATAGTCTGAAACCTTGAGAACATGCCGTTTCTGGTTTGTGTTGAGGTATTCAAGCCTCTCCTGTAAAGAAGGAGTATTTGGTGCATCGCTCAGGTACATCAGGATTCAGGCAGAAATCAAACAGATCTGGGCTGAGTACTACGCCTGGCCATTTTCATGGCTTTACCTCACTAAGCCTGGAGGTGGGGAGTAGGCTGGCAGCTTGAGGCGAAACACAGTGAAAAACGTATGGTTGTTGTTTTTGGCTCTGCTGAGGGGAAGCTTCACAGACTGCCTCCTGCCTGTCCTGTTGCTCTCTGCGCAGAGGCACAGCTTATCTTCCCCGTTCCAGTACAAGACAAACAGCAGGAGTTACTAGTTACCAGTGGGGTAACATGGCACTGGGGGGAGGAATCTGCCTTTAAAGATTTTTAGGAACGGGGTGGACAAGCATTCTTCAGAAAGGATTTACATGTCATGCTCTGCCTGGGGGAAAGGAAATGGGCTGCATGTCTGCTCACCCTGTCTTCTGTGGACTCCCAGGCATGCCCTGTGGCAATTTGCCATAGGAGTGCCTCCACATCCTTTTTGTGACAGGTTTGGAGATAGAGAAGTAACTTTATCATTGGTTTTATCACCTTTCTCTGAAGATCTCTGAAGGCCTCACATGCTGAGATTTAATGAGATCTGTGAAACTACAAGCTTGTCTTTGGACATCTCTTTCAAGATGCTCCTATCTATGCATTTCAATTAGACGTAAAGAGGTTTATGGTAGCCATCTTTGCGTCTGGTGTTTGCAAGTGATAGCATCAGGGATAGCAGAGGTGTAAAATCAGCATTAGCCATGTATTCCTCTCTGCAGTGTACAAACAACCTCTTTCACACATCTCCTATTTCCACCTGTCCCACAAGCCAGTAGATTGCTGCTGCCAAAAGCGTTTTGTGATTCCTCTCTAACTCTCAACTAATTTGCTAATGCCCTCAGAAGTTTAAAAGCCACTGCAGCTGCCTGTTGACAGCCAGGAGATAAGGTGACTGTTATTCAAATGACATAATAACCATAACATAAAATCTACAGTGAAGTATTATTTAAGGAAAGATTTTTGGCTGGAAAACGTAGGCCCAGGCCTGAGTCTAAAGAAAACAGGGGAAACAGATCTTTCCTGTAGCCTCAACTTCATTTGGCTGTGTTCAAGGTGTCCGCCTGTTTTCTGCCAAGGCTGAAGTTATTACAGCTTCCCAGCAGCAAACGTTGTTTGTTCAAGCAAAGAGCCTGTGCGTTCCTGGACACAGCTTCCTTTCCTTCTGGTCAGAGAAGGGTATTATCCAGGGGAAAATAAACGTTGCCAGCTGCACCGCCGACTTGTTTTGCTAACCAGTGCATAACATGTTGCTTCAGGACAAAATATCTGGTTATCTTATTTTCTACTAGGGAGGAAGCTTCAGAAGTATCTCTTTGCTTGAAAATGAATATTCACTAGGTGGCATTTGTGGGTTTTGCACTGTGTGTTTTGGGGGATCACTGGGATTGGATGCTAAAAAGAAGTTTCATACAATGAAGCATACCCTGGGCTTGTGACCCTGTGGTATGTACTAACCACTGCATGGGGAACAGGCAGCCTCCTGAGTTATAGCACTCCCACAGGTCCGAGCCCCATCGCTCCTGAATTATCCCTTTACGCTCCAGATGCTGTTATTGAGGCAAACACTGTGTCAACTGCTGAAAACTTTTCCAGTGCTCTTATTTTCTGGGTGAGCTGTAAAAAGGAGTCAAGTTGCAGTACATTCATCTTGAACCAAAAAGCAATGGTCCATACATTGTATATTCATGAGACACCAGCCAGCTTTCTGCAAATGGGTTTTGACAAGCAATGTATAGTTGGAGTACTCTCAGCAAAACCTACAGAATTGGCTTCTATAACCCCACTGGGGTTCAACCTCATGATAAAACCTTAGTGTAATGAACCTGTTGCTCTTAAGGGTGGAGGGGGTAGAGGAGGAACGAGATGCTGCTTTATCTGTATTACTCCACATCACAGATGCTGACAGAATTATTGGTTTAGAACTCACGGCTCCAAAAAGATTCAGTAATGCAGTATTTATAATTTTGGTTTGTTTGTTTGTTTTTTTTCCTTCTCTCAGATGTGGTGTTTTCAATAGGCCCCTTAGATATGGGCTCTTTGGAGACGTTGTTAAACTTGTGCTAAACAGCTGCCAAACTGCAGTCCTAACCTTGGGTGTTTTCCATACAACTCTGATGGTCGACTGTCTTTTGGAAGAGCCCATAGCTGCAAGGTCTATTGCTTTACAGGTACTAGGAAGATAGAGGGATTAAGTTATACATTATGCAAAACTACCCACTAATCCTCTTAGTGTGCATTACCAGTGAATGGCCTGAAACAGGCTCTCACTAGAAGAGCCCTAACATTCACTTTCTTGATGACATTTTAGTATTTGAGGTTTTTGTCATGGATGTCGGTGCTGAAATATTCAGTACACCATCTTCTGTCTGCTGCTAGATACACTCATGTGTTAGTAGAGTGCTAACAAAATTACAGTTGGTAAAGCAGATTACATGTTTAACTAGTAGCGAGACATGTATAAAATAAAGTTACATATTTTCCTAGAGTGACAGAGCCACTGGGATTTTTTTTCTTTTTCTTTTTTTGTTCTTTTTTGTTTTTATAAGAAAAAGAAACCACTATAAAACCATGATTAAAAATGTTACAAGGGATGATTTACATTTTCAAATAATGTTATTTTTGGGAGAAAAATGTGATTTTTAACATGAAAGTGTTTGGAAAGCATTTGGTTGCTGTGCCTTCTTTCCCAGTACAGTTTGCTATCTTTTACACAGTCTTGCATAAATGTTTAAATTAGGGGAGAAAAGAAAAATTAAATGTGATGGCTAAGACCTATAAGAGCTGACTCACTGACTTGAGTTATTGCTGTGCAGAAAGTTTGTAAAGCCTTTACATCCAGCGAACATTTAGTGCTACTTCAGCCTTGACAGTTGACCTTTCAGTCTGATTGGGTTTAGCCACAATAATTGCAGCATCTGCAGTACAGACCATGCAGAGAGCTGCTTAAGAACCCAACTTCTCTCATTAGATCTTACTTCATGTGTCTGAAATTCAACACCCCCCCCCCCCCCCCTTGCATGTGTGTGCAAATTCTCTCGTAATACCTGTTACAGGAGCTGAGCAAGGTACAATCCCCCCAGCTCTTTAAAAAAAAAAAAAAAAATCTAATTTCTCCCATCATTTTGAATATTCCTGGATTTAGCTTGGGGTGGGGGTGGGGAGAAGGAAAACATCCAAACCCCTTCCTGTCCTCAGATATTTAGTCACTACTGGTTTCTTTCTTCTTATTTTTTTTTTTCCTCTTTTTCCTCAGTAAGACCTAGTGTAAAAAAAGCAACAAACAAACAAGTTAGACTGTTGTAATTTGGTCAACCACTCGGGTGCTATCCATATCCACCATTTCAACACACTCTATTTCCTCACGGTTTTCAGGATTCTTCTTCTCTTTCCTCTTCTTTTTGGATGGTGGCAGGAAAGTCAGTATCACAGGTAAAATGGCAAAGCAGTGAAAGAAGGTGACTAATGCTATCAAAAACAAGCACCTGAACAGTGTACGGGTCAGATTTGAAGGCACAGCTGCAAGAGGAATCAGACCAACAATATAGCAGAGGTAGCTCTGCAAAATAGCTACCCCATGCACTTCCAGGGCATTTTTCACCCATTTAGTTCTTGTGAACTCTTTGCCCAGGACAAAGGTTGATAACAGTGGAGCACAGTTGTCAATTGTGTAATTAATTCCGTAAATTAAGCACAACACAGAAATACAATCTAGTTCCACTTTCCACAAGGTCATAAAACCTATAACTCCAAATTCAACTGAGGCAACAGTTAGAGTGAGCCAGACATTGATCAGAGAGTCTGCCACGAGGAATGCAGAGAAGAAGAGCAGAAATAAAGCACTAATGCAGGAGTTTTGTAAGGGTGCTCCCACTGAAGAAGCATAACGATCCATGTACACAAATGATGGATTGAAAACAATGAATTTCACCTTGGAGGTGAGAGAGAGCTTCCTCAGGGTCTCCAAGAGGTCATAAAGTTCTTCCCTCTTAGTTTCCATTGTCTTGGCCACCAAGAACATCCTGGATGCCACGACATCAACTTCATTGTTGTATTTCTTGGAAAAGATGATATCCTCTGAAAAATGGGCAAACTGAGGGGTCTTCAGGAAGTTGTTCCTCAACATATCAGTGAAGTTCTTCTTGGGCAACCCAGTGGATATGTTGAGTTTCCTAAGGTAATTTAAGTAGCTTTCAAACCAAGATATCCTCACAAAGCCCTTGGTATACTCCAGTACATCCTCTTGGACACTGGTATTCCAGTACTCAATCGACTCATAAATGTAGAACCCAATCACTGGGCTGTAGTTACTGAAATACTTCTGCTGGGCAGTTGTATACTCAATAGTCCGTGTCGCAGTCGCTACGATGTTGCTCAGGTCTGACCCTTCACTGACCTGCAGGTAGCCCATTAAGGCAAAGGAAATATAAACAAGGTAAAAGAGAACTACAAAAGGCTTGACATAAGTGTTTGTTATCCAGTCACAATAATATCGTTTCAGGAACCACACCAAAAGATGACTCTCGTAAGTGTTTGTTTCCTCTGAATCATCTGTGTCCTCGCTGAATTTGGCTGTCAGAAGAAACCTATACCATGCAGGCTTCTCTTGCAATACCTCTGGCTTTGGTACCTTTCTGCAGAAGATACTATGCTGGTAGTTGTTTTCTATGTAGCCAGTAAACACCAGGCTGGAACCATAAAAGGAGAGTACATAGAGGTAGTTGAAGAAAATTGCAATACAGGAATTGCAGCAGAAAATCCTGGCTGCTTCAATGTTAGTGAAGGGACTGGCACCTATTCCAAAAGTGACCAGGTACATGGCAGTGGTGAGAGAAAACGAGAGCATGGAGTCTGCAAATACAGCTGCAGTCCTCTCTTTAACGTGTTGGTCTTCTCTAGTCTTCCTCCAGGAGGACAACATTTCAAAAGTCCCATATAAACCATGACCTACAATAGAGAACAAAGCGGGTGTTTAAAGTACTCAAATCAACGTGGAAAAACATAACGCAGACATGCTAAAAGACTCAAAGGAGACACATCTGGCTGTTACCAGTGCTTGAAGCAAACGTCCTGCAGAAGAGAGATATTATTATGGAGGTCTAAGCCACAGGAGTGCATTTGCCACCTGACTAGCAAACCTTAATGCCAGAGCTTGAGGAGAGTTCTGCATCGCTGGTGCAGGGTTGATGGATTAAAGAAAAAGGATTTTTTTTCTGATTGGCTGTTTCACTTCATTATTTTGGTGTGCCTGCGACGGAAGATGCTTTGAAATTAGTTTTTCCTGGTGATGGGATATGGCCTGTGGTGAAAACAAAGAAATACAACCTTGAAGTGCCTTATGCTGGAAGCAGAGATTTAGTTGGCTGTTTTGTGGAAAATCTGTAAAAAATAAAATTTCCATATAAGCTGAAAATTGTCAGTTAAATCAGCCACTGATTTTTCCACCTCCTAAACAAATTTTCCGTCAGGAAAAAGAAATCCTAGAAACAGAACACACTAAAAAAGCACAAATTTATTTTAAAGATGCAGAATGGTAGAACTGATATGGAAGTGCTTAAGGCATTAGTCTTCTTACTTTACTATATTTAAGGGTTTGTAAAACCAAATACAGCTCTATTTTTCTTGGCAGTTCCTACACTTTGTAATTAACTCTTAAAACAGATATAGCAGTCATGAAAGGAGATGGACCTGCAGACCTAGAATCCTGTGTTTAACCCCGAAGTGCAGGTAAATCAGGAAAAGTACATGGGCTTATCTTAATCCCTGGTTGCTCATCTTCCTGTTACAGTTTCTATTTTGTGACTGATAACCAAGGTGCATTTAGAGGACACAGACCTCTGCTCTCTCGTAGCGGACCTGAGCTGGGAAGGCAGCCATCGACCAGCTATAAGGTGAGAGTGGCTGAGATAAAACTAGTTTGATATTTTACACAGAGAAGAACAAAAAAGTACAGTCTTTGCATCACATCTAAAATGTAAGACACTAATATTTTCCCATAGTAATTCACATCATGTTCATTTTTTCTTAATAGTTCCTTTCCATCTAATCCCATCTTTTTTACTGTCTTTTAATTACTCCTCCTTATTCTTTTGCTCTTTTTGCTGTCCCCTTGCTACCTCTCTGGTCTGCTCTTGCATTATCTCCAGAAATTCCCAAAAGCGAGTCCACAGTGTTTTGCTCTTACCCATTCCCTGATAACATTAGATAAAATTATAAATGCTAAATTAGTTGCAGATGACCCTAAAGTGCAATCACTGGACTTTTGAGGCTGATGCTCATCAGGCAGGTCAAGGTAATTCACAGATCTCTTAGAATTTCAGGCTGTCTGCAGAGTACCGAAATTGCTCTGTTAGCTCTGTTCTCTCTGCCTGTAGATGAGTATCACTTTTGCCACAATATCAGTTAAGAAACCCCCAAACTAATGAGGCATTGTGAAGAACCAGAAAAACAGAGGATATGTTAGGGGGGCTGGAACTAGATGATCTTTTAGGTCCCTTCCAACACAAGCCATTCTGTGATTCTATGATGACATTTATTCTTAAATATATCATGTAGGCTAAATATTTAATTAACTTGAGAAAATAACGCTTCTGTGGTCAGTACCTTTTACTGTACTGGAAGCTGTAGCTGATTTACTCCACCCTTCCTGCAAGGAATATCCTATCTATATTTCAACAGATGGCAGAGCTGGTCAGTCTGTTAATGCTGAAAAAATAGGTATGGGGTATTTTATAAAGAATTCAAAACACAGAGCTCGTAAGATGAGATAATAGGACAGCTGGTGTGTCTCCTTATCACAGTCATCTGGTATTTAGAATAACAAAGTCTGTGCTCTCATGTAGATTAGATATCTTACCTGTGTTGTCATTTGGAATCATGACATGGACCACGAATGTCCAATTTGTAGCAATATTACAGTCCCGGTTTTGGTATGGCATTTGGCATTTATCTTAACTTTCCCAAGCAATGTTTTACAGCTGCTTTCAGAGGCCAGGTCAAGACTGTCAATTTGGTAACTAGCACCGTGCCCCCTCTTAAAGCTAATGGGGAATATTGGAAGTCCCCAGATGTAAAATCAAGTGAAAAAGCACGATCAGTGACTGGCACCCTGTTGCTAATTATGCTTCATATAGTTGTGTTCTAGGCCCGGTAGGGAAAGCTATTAAGCTTGCTTTCAGTGTGCTCTTTGTAAAGACAGACTGACCTTTATTTAAATGTAACTGATCACTTGCCAAAGCAGGGAGTGAGAGGTTTAATCCATTTATGGCTCCCATAAGTCCTGCAGACAGGCTTGTCTGAGAATTTCATATAGCATCATATGCATTAGCTTAGAGTGAGCAAAACAGAATAAAATGAAGTCATTGAATATTACAAATTCCATCGTGAGCTTTAGTTATAGCATGTTTTTGTAAAAAAACATTACAGTGTTAATAGGCTCTTGCATAAAAATACTCAAATAGCCGCATTAACTTGGAAAGCTCTTGACTTTGCTATGATAAAAAGAATTTAGAGCTAATTAAATACAATGCTGAGCATGACTTTTTAACAGGTATAAGATTTTGGATAATGTCTGATAACATGACTCCTGATACCACCGATTTTCTTTAAGTAGGAAGCATAAAACCACAATTTGCTCTTACACAACCTTTGAGACTACCCTAAAATGGAATCTGATTTAGAGAACTGCTCAAGTAAAGGCATGAAGAGGCGTCACCACATGTGCTCCACAAAGCCAACAGAAAAACATTTAGATACTCTTCTATTTTAGGACAGGTTCCTTTTGTTTGCTACACAATCTGCATGGTAGGAATTGGGATTTTTCTTCAACTGTAGAGCCTGTGATTCCTCTGTCCACTTGTATAACAGCTACAACATTCTTGTTTACCTTTAGGAAGACAAGCCTAAATTGCCAAACTTGCACCCTTTTTGCATCAGTAGCACTGATGCCCCAAACTTGTGCAAAAATTAGGCATGACAGTCCAAAGACTAGCCTTTTTAAACTAGAATGGGATTTACCTAACCTAATTTACTCCTTCAAATACCAACCACAAGCACAACAAGGGGTGACAGCCTCCAATGTCATCTAACTCGCTGATGCTCATACAAGTGTAATCCACATAGATTATGGCACATAACTCCATGGAAACATTTTCTGAGAATTTATTTCAGTTTTCTGTCATTTCAGAGTTTCCATTTTTTTGCATCCCTAAATGATATGCACTGATTACCTCTATTCCTCTTGCTGGTGCTTTGTCTAGTCTATATACAAATGAGAAGAAGGCATTTTTTCCTTGCAAATAAATTCTGTAATTGCTTTGACCAATTTTCCCTTTTTAATAGAGATTAAGCCACAAATCTGTAATGATTTAGTGCAATTTGTTCATTATTCACAGTCACTCAGTAAATAATAAATATGAACTCAAACAGCTAATGGGCTATTGGAGATCTTTTCCTGTTGACATTTGCTATTATGATTCACTGGTCCTGCCCTATAGTCAGGCTGTACAACCATGAGCTAAGAAGGAGGAGTACGTGGAAAGATAGATTTATTTTTTTTTTTTTTTTAAGGAAAAAGGGTTCTAAAAGGGCAAAAGAAAATGTTATGGAAATAGGAGAAAGGTATTGGATAAAATGGGGACCTTTCTTCCTTATTCTTTTTTTCCCATGGGTTTGCATTGTAGGATATACTCCTACCACATGCCTTGGATGACTGAGAACAGAAATTCTGGCTTTTGTAGCCAAAGAAAATGAAGCAGATAGTCACTGTTATTTCTGGGGTGCTTAATCATATTTTTTTTTACAGGCTGATGTGGGCTATCTTTAACTTTAGAAGCTAATAACACTACCAGCAATAAAAACAATAAATTATTCCTAGCTTAAACACAGTGTTTTTATGAGTAGTCTGAAAATGCTATAAAGAGTTTCGTTTGCCTTACAATTTGTCTTGCAATTACACATGCTCTGCAAAATCAAGCAAAGCATGCATGAGAGAAAAAAGCACTTGCAGGAAGTTGTGAAAACTAAGGCAATTATTTTATCTTCCTTGAAATAATCAAATTATTTACCTCATTTTAAACACTATTTATGTGCAGCACTTAAACTGTTCTTTCTAGTACCATTTCAAAATCTCAGAAAATAAATGCATCCTTTCCCCTGCTGAGTGGTTATTCAAGCAAGAGGCCTTTACGAAGGGGCATCGGTGGCCTAGGCTTAAAGTTGGCTCTGTTCCTGCCTGGAAAATTGCGAGACTGAAGCAGAGAGGGGTGAAGGGATTTAAAGCAGCCCCAAAGCCTGTGAGAGGGCAATGAAGCAACCTCCCTGTCACCGGAGTCGCAGACCAGCTCTCTATTAATTTGGCTTAATTACTTCCCTGAAACAAAGGCTGCTTCCCACTTTTATTGTTTAGAGATTAAGGGATATGTTCAATTTTACACTAAAATCATGTGAGGTTTTGGTCTTATTGTAATGAGGCTGGGGTATTAAATAGACTTCTTCTGTAAGAAAATGTAACAGGAATGACTGAGAAAAAGGTTTGGGTTCCTTTTCTTGCAGTTTTACCCATCTATGAAAGCAGAGAGTAATGCTACACTGTGGGTCTCATTTTTTTGTTCTTACTGTTTCGAAGGTTGCATGTCTCTCTGTGTGTTTGATGCTTGAGTAAAATCTCTCTGAATAAAGTACCACTTACAGGCTGTGAAGTTACAGCCTTCTCTGGGGAAGGTCGCATTTTAGGGGTAATTAATTTTATTCATCCCATTTTAATGCAGTGGCACACAAAACACTAATAATGATTGATCTCCACTTCAGTGAGCTGAATGCTGCACCAGTATGTATGTTGCCCATTACCTGCCAGATTTAAGACTAATAAAGCACCAAACTGTCTTCCTAAGGGGACAGACTTCTCTATCAGCAAAGCTGGGGTATGGGGTGTTTCCCCCTTCTCAGGC